GCAGGGAAGCGCTGGTTGAGCAGGAAGTCCGACAGAGAGTCGGCCATGCGCTTGGTCTCAACGAAAATGAGAGTGAGACCGCTAGTGCCATGAGTGTGGAGAATATCTAAGAGAACCGAACGCTTGTCGTGATCTTCGACGTATTCAACTTTCTGGGTGATGTTCTCAGAGGTTGAGCCGACACGACCAACAGAAAGGAAAACATAATCCTTCAGGAAGTCGCGAGCCAGCATTTGAATGTCGCGAGGGAAGGTGGCAGAAAACATCAGAGTTTGACGGTCGTTAACATGAGGCATATCTTCACCCTCCACAATGCGGCGGATCTGAGGCTCGAAACCCATATCCAACATGCGATCAGCTTCGTCCAGGATCAAGTACTTGATGTTGACAAGAGAAATGCGGCCACGTTCAATAAGATCCACGAGACGACCAGGAGTGGCAACCAGAAGATCACAACCACGTTCAATCTGACGGAGCTGAGATCCAATATCGGCACCACCGTAGACGACACAGGGACGAACCCAGGAGCGGTAGGCGAATTTGCGAGCTTCATCGAAGATCTGAGAGACTAGCTCACGAGTCGGGGCCAAGATAAGGGACGTCGGGTAGGCCTTGCGCTGACGGCCGTAGCTGAACTGGCCGGATGCCGGGGCAGGAGTCGGGGAAGGACCGTTCTGGAAGGCCTGAGACAAGATTGGGAACAGGAAACCACCAGTCTTTCCAGAACCAGTCTGGGCACAAGCCATCAGGTCACGGCCGTTCATCACGATAGGGATGGAGTACTTCTGCACCGGGGTGGGAGTCTGATAGTGAGCGAGCTTAATGTTCGCAATTAGGTGGTCATCCAAAGGAGGGTTGGTGAATGCGTTGACGGGCTCGGGAACATTGTGACCGGAGGCTTCCACGGGGATATCGTCGTAGTTGGCAAAGTTGATACCAGTGTTCTGCTTAGAGGGGTCGTTGGGCAGGCCGAAAAGTTCACGCTCCACGCGGGCGTTGGCGGGACCGGGGATGTGCTTGCCGTCGCGCCACTGGCCATCTCCTGAGCCTCTAGCACTGCCTCCGCCATAAGAACCTCCATGACCTGGGTTTCCGTAAGCATCTGGATTAAATGATCGGCGAGAACCTTCAGTGGGAGTCCAGCTAGTGTTACCATTGGGATTGGGACCGCGAGGGCTGAAATCAGGAGCATTAGCATTAGCCCAGTTACCACCGCGAGGGCCGCCTCTGTGAGATTAAATGGTCAGTGACTCGCACACGACAGAGAGCAAGCTGCAGGGTGAATCCGGCAAAGATACATACCTCGAACCCCAAGAGTTGCCGGGGCCGTTGGGACCAGGGGCAGGGGGAGCGGCGGCGGCGGGGGCGGCGGCGGGGGCTCCGTCCATGTTCGCACCCATTTGACGTTGACGGAGATGGGGAGGGATGTAGGCAGCGCGGCCAGAGGAAGAGTTCGGGGCAGGCGCATGCTGAGATTCGTTGAGGGAAAGGCTTCCCATCTTCAAGCTGTCGGCCATCTTTGCGGTATTCCACTAACTATCCAGAGATGACAGGTAAGCAATGTATTCCAAGTTGCACGGGTGGAATGCGGGTTTCCTGGCGCAGAAATGAGATGGCGGTATATGGACGTACAAAAGACGGAAAGGGAAAAGAAGTTGCTTTTTTGTTTTTTTTTTTTTTAAAAAAAAAAAAAAACCGGGGAGCAGAAGCGCGATCTGCTTATCGTCAGAAAAACGGGAAAAGAGCGCCCGAGATTCGTATTTTGTACAGGACAAAAGGGAAAGAGAGAAACGTGAAGAAGGTAAAAAGAAGTATCCTTGTGTCTCTCTATTGAGTGGCGATCCAGATGGATCGAATATGAGTAACACAACAAGAAAAAAGGTAAAAAAAAGATTTGGGGGGTTTCGAAAGTAGAACAAGGCGATCTCCCAGATCTAACCCTCTATTAAATTGCAGAAAGAAAGAAAGGGGAAGAAAGAGAAAAAAAAATAGAAGTTGATAATATGTGGAAAAGAAAAGGAAAACCAATTTGGATTAGGGGAGGAGGTTTGAAAAAGGAAGAGGAAGAGATTAGGTTTTGTGGGAGAAGGAGAGGAAGTGAGGCAAAGCCTGACTTAATTTAGTGTTTGCAGTCACGCTCAATGACCACCAACCTGTGTGTACTTACCACGGACTGTACTGGTACCTACTCGCTCTGGGTATTTTGCATGCGGTTCCAAAAAAAAAAACTGTCTTTGGGGGATTTTTCTATTGGCACATCCAGCGTGGATTTCAAAGGCAAGGGCAAAAAAAACAAAAAAAAAAAAAATTTAAATTAAATTAAAAAAAGAGAAAAAAGTTCAGAAGCGAAGGCAAATAGGAAAAAAAAAAAAAGGTAAGTTGCGGCGCCAATAGGTAACTATGGGCTGGGCCGAGTCCTTTTTTCTTTTTTTTTTTTGCCTTTTTCAATGTTTGCCGTCACGGTGAAAAAGGGTTTTGCAGTTTTTTCAATAGAACCAACCGACCGTATCCTGTAGTACCTCCCCAAGTACAGAGTATCTTGGATCTTTAAAATTTGGCTCCTCCTGTTTCTCCCCTGTAACACTTCGGTAATTATAGAAGAACTCCATCACAAATCAATTAGATAACAATCAAGTAAAATCTGTCAAGATCTTCGAATCATCTACCTCGATAGTATTCTTGTATCATACTACCATTTGGATACCTACTGATTACTGGATAGTAATGGATACTGGAGGGGTCCTAAAAAAGTACTAGTGACTTTCTTCGGGCCAATCTGAGGGGTTTCAATGAAAACCACTTGTTGAATCGGTACATTACTTACTAGTACCTATTGAAAGCGATCAGATGCAACGATCATCGTCAATGATCGCATGTCTGTGCCTAAAAGTACGGGGTCTCCATGAGTGCAAACTCCGTAGAATTCATTTGAACAAAGACCAAGTCTTTTCTACCCTTCCTTTCATCTTTCATTTTTAGAGATAGACACAAATGAAACAACAAAGAGATCAAAATTCCATTCGGATATGTCTATACCATTCTCTACACCAAGATTCTACACTCAACACAACCCAGCTGTAAGAAAGAAATAACAATAATCATAATAATAATAATAAAATAATGATATATATCCAGATAGGCATTCTGCATTTGAAAACTGCCCACATGCATCATAGGAGAAGCAGAATCTGACATTTGCCACTCCTGGCAGTAACTAGTCACCTGACAAGGTTTGCCACGACCAAGTAGTAGTTTGAATTGTTACTGACCGCTTCTATGGGAAAAGCCTGAGTAGACACGCAAAGCGCGTTAGACGCTACGGGAGATACGTGCTAGTAAGTATGGAGACTAGTTTTAGGTACCCTCTACGGTCATAATGTATCGGTGAACTTGATTCTAATTGGATGGTTTGTCCGCGGCAACTTTTGGAAATCGTCATCCTGCATGTCTTTAAACAATGCTTTTCTCATCATTTGCTTTGCACTGGCACCGTGCCTTGCAGACCTTCCGAACAGAGATCACTATAAGGGCAACGGCAACAAGGAATACTACAAATCCGGAAAGAGAATAAGAGGAAGCATAAGCGCTTGCTGATGCGGGTGCTGGTGCTGGTGAAGATGGTGCTGGAGTTTCTGATGGCTCCTCAATAACGATGTCTTCTTTAGAGGTCAAGAACTATCAGCACTTTTCAAACTCTTCCAAGAATCAAACATTGACCCGGAGAAGGTCTACAGCTCCTTGTGGCTACCTTTGTCCTCAGACTCCAGCTCTCCACTCTTGACGATCTTGACCACCTGTTGGGGCTTGTCGCCAGGAGCCTTGGGAACGTTTTCGATGGCTTCAACCACCTCATAACCTTCAAGGACCTCACCGAAAACAACGTGGCGGCCATCGAGCCATCTATACCGCTTGTCAGCATGCTTTCTCTGCGAGTCTCTTCGTAAAGCCGTAATATTAATGCAGGAGATACATACGGAGTAGGAACAGTAGTGATGAAGAACTGGGAGCCGTTGGTATCCTTGCCGGCGTTGGCCATGCTTAGGAGTCCCTTCTTGGTGTGCCTAATCTTGAAGTTCTCATCCTTGAACTTCTCGCCATAGATGGACTTTCCGCCAGTGCCTTGATGCCAAACGTCAGCCTGTGCTATACTCTTCAGGTTCGAAAAGGGGAAGCTTACCGTCACCGCGGGTGAAGTCACCACCCTGGATCATGAACTCCTTAATGACACGGTGGAAGGTAGAGCCCTCATAACCAAAACCCTTCTCGCCGGTAGCGAGAGCCCTTAAGCGTTTAATATTAGTACACAAAATATCCAGATACAATATCAAGATAATCATACCGGAAGTTCTCGGCGGTCTGTCCAAGAAACTTTTATTAGCATAATCCTAGACAAGGTATGTAGGCAGTAAGGATCATTACCTTGGGAACGGTCTTGCCGTACAATCCGAGCACCACTCTGCCCAAAGGCTTATCACTGTGCTCAATATCGAAGTACACCTATACAAAGTTAGTCAATGAGCATACATTGAGAGAAGCAACAATTATCAATAGCGACGTGGACAGAGTATGTACCTTAGAGGTGATCTTCGGGCCACGGGGCTGATTAGCTTCTTCGGCGTGGACTAGAGCCAGTCCAACCGCCAGAAGGAAGAAAAACGATAAGAAGAGGTTTCTGAAGTTCATGGTAACTTAGACTGTCTCCGTTTCCTGGAGATCCTCAACAATGACTTGGAAGAGTACAATTGGAGTGGAAGGAAGAATCGCGGGACTGAAGGGCCAGCTTTCAATTGCGGAGATGCCAAGACGCCGTTATCCCCAATGGAGGCAAAGTTTGTAATTTGAGCTTGGATATGTGTAATTTTCCCCTCGAGGGTGGTGTAAGGTCGCCCCAGAAACTTAAATCTTACAGGGGGTGTATTGAAATTTACGAAAGCTAAACCGGAGGAATGTTGTTGCGACGTGATTTCTTCCACGCTCCGGAGGTCAATCATTGCGCCGGAGGGACATTAGCGGAGTGCAGTTTGTCCCATTTCTAGCAGACCAGGTTCATCCAGTCAGGCAAGATGGTACGCTATCTTCTATCTCATTTTCAAGAGTTCAGGGCTCACGGCTAATGGTTCACTTAGGTCTTCATCCTGGGCGTGAACTTCCCTGAGCGGAACCTCGTCAAGGCAAGCACTCTAGCCAACCAATGCACTATAGTATCCTTACCGAATCTAACACTCTCAACAGAAATCGCTCCAGTCCTTTTTCGGTATTGGCAACAATGCCTCTTCACGCCTTCTAGCCCGCTTCCACATCCACCCCACATGCAAAGTCGGCGAACTGGCAAACAAGCAGGTCCTCGACATCACGGCTGCTTTGTCCGAGATGAAAATCGAGAACGACCTTCGCAGACAATACCTGGATGATATCAAACGCTTGAAGGAGACGGGTACATACCGGGGTAGACGACATGCATTGGGACTCCCAGTTCGTGGACAGAGGACGAGAACTCAGGTTGGTTTTGCTCCCATATTTGTTCTCCTGTTTCTCAGGTTGTGCAGGGGCTAATGCTTGTCTGTATAGATCAAAACTGCTGTCAAGCTCAATCGTATGGAAAGAAGGCTCTGAGCTCACTACACCGACTATTTGTACTTTGTTGGACCTCGCGATCTTTATGTGGGGGGCATGGCATGGCGTTTATCTTTAATTTCTTGTAATTGAGTATCGGATACAGTTCAAAAACTCATGAGATGTACTATATCTAGAGAAGGAATATGCAGCCAAAAGAATGCTGTATCCCGTCTTTGTGTCTCGCAGGATTTATAAGCATCTGAAAGGACATCGAGTTGTATAGTAGCAAAAGAAAAAAAAATAATTAGAGAATCTCAACTTTTCATCCTATAGCAAAACGCCAGGCCCATATGTGCAACTTATTCTACGCAGAAGATAAGACGCCTTCGCCCCGATTGATCTGGATCCTCTTGTCCTCACCGGCACTGACAATGCCTACTGTTCCATCCCAGGCCACACCAAAAACTTTGACGCCCTCTCCACCGACACGCTTGGCCTCAGATTTACCTTGTTCTTCCAGACTCTTGCGGGAAATGGAATATACACTCTCCCCAACCACACCATCCTTGTCTGTCTTCGTGGCCCGGATATCCCAAATCCGACATGTACCATCATGACTTCCACTAATGAGACCATAGGAACTCTTAGGATCACGAGCCAACGAGACAACTGCGTTTGTGTGGCCTCGCAGAGTCATGGCCGCAATTGTAGTTGCTGACACCCGAGGGTCGATTAGGGTGATATGGCGAGCGGATGTTCCTGCGGCGAGCAGGTGGTGTTCAGGGAGGTGCTCAAGTGAGAGCAGTGAGTGAGCTGTTGTCCGAGTATCCACAAGTGTAGCAGTCACAAGATCCCATGTACGCAGAGAATGGTCCCAAGAAGCTGAATAACCGACAGTAGAATCATTAGAGTCGAAGATCGCAGCCGACACAGGCGCAGTGTGGGAAGACAAGAGTGCCAGGGATCCACGTTGCGGGGTGGTCACAGACGAATTCAGCTTTCTCCTCTTGGAGCTCCTCAAGGCAGCAGATGGCAATAGATCCTCTGGAGCGGCTGGTGCATCTGATTTCTTGGTTGACCAGAAGCCTATGCTGTGGTCTGACGAGGCGGAAAGTATGCGATTCGAAGGCGCATGTACAGACAATGAGTTGATAGGACCCTCATGCCCATACAACTCGAGCTGAGGCACTATATTGCCCGAGAAACCATCCCCATCCTCAGAATACTTCCACAGACGCACTGTTCGGTCGAGACCTGCGGAAACAATCGAATTTGGGGAAATGAACTTGGCGGCTTTGATAGAGGCGGTATGACCACCATCAGCGGCAGATGGAGAGGTTGCAACTATCTGAGACGACATATTCCACACTCGAAGCAGACCATCATAGCTGCCAGAGAGGATCCTTTCTTGACCCGCAGCAATTGTTGCAGAGGCCAAAGAAGCGGCGGGCGAGGTCGTGGAAAGCACATCAACCGAGCTTACCCAGTCGTCATGCTCAAACGATGCAATATGCAGAGGTGGAATCAAGGCTCTCACATATTCGATTTCTAGAGTAGTTTCCGCAGAGATACCATTGGCAGTCAGGTATTCATCGATCGAAGTTCGGAGGAAAGACCCGTTGATCAAAAATTCGAATGGAATTGGCTTATCATTGCCAAGGAGATTGTTCACCAACGTCGAGAGTGCATATCTTCGAAGACCTACATAATTAGATCTCTGCAGGAAAAACAGACACCAGGAAGATGCAAGGACCGGCGTAAGATAACCTCACCTGTGGGAACGAGAATCGGGCCGGTATTCTCAGGTAGTGCAATGTCTTCTTGTTTGCTAGTGAGCTGCACACGAACCTGCCTCTGCGCAGAGGCCGCAGCCGAAGTGGGATTTGTGCCCTCGCTCATTTTGGGACCGTAAAAGCACAAATGGAACTGGAGATTCTGAAGTGGCGTTGTCGAAAATCGAATCGGTTCGCAGTGGGCAAAACCTGCGCAAACTGAGGAAAAAATACGGCGACCGGTGCGGCCAATTGCGCAAAGCGCGGAGATTCCCCGCAGTCAGCCTACAAGAACTATGTACTATACACAATACTGTTCTTTGCCCTAGCCCTATAATCTGTAGTTACTATGGTCGAATTGCCTGTCATATTATACTCCTCTATTATATACGATACATTTGAGCCTCTTTCCTATCATCTCGAGACTCGTCGAATCTCTGCAATTGCCTTCCGCCTGTAGTCAGACTCAGCGAAAAGAGCCTTGATAAGATCAACCACTTCATCAGCCGAGAATTCTAAACGTAGTTCGCCTTCTTGCCAGAGGAACTTAATGTCGGCCAACGAACTTTCCAATATGTTGATAAGATACTGGAATTTCAGCCAGTGTCGCACGTAGACAGCGGTCATCGGTACACGTGCATGATCATCCGCTGTCTCTGGCATGAACAGATCTTCCAGCTTAGAGACTTGGTTGCAGAATATTACAAGCTGTTGGGACTGAGCCTCCGATATATCACCTAATTCTTCAATCTCGATGATGATCTTGTTGATAACTGTCGAAACCAGAGAACCAACAGACTGAAGTAGTGCGGAATGTGACAGGATTGGTTGCCATTCCTTGTAGACGTCATGGATTCTGTCAACAGTTGCACTGACGGCATTTTCACATTCTCCCAGGAATGGTTGCTCAGAACATTGGCTAAAGCCTTGTGCACCGTCCAGCAGGTCTGTGACAATGGTGCGCTGCGTTTGCATCTCTTTGCTGTAAGCGAATTTGCCGCACTTCTCGAGCGCATCGATATCAGCATGGAGCCTGGAGAGCTGATGTTCCTCTGAAAGATTGCGCACTTTGTCAGCAAGATACAAGCTGTCATTGTATAGGTACATTTGCCCTGAGTTGAGTTTAAGACCGTAGAACGATGACGCCGTGGCCTTGAACATGGCGAGTATCAAGGTCGGAAGCGCAAGTAAGCCTGCACCAGAGGAAACAACGCGGGAGTGGGAATGTCTGGAACAGAGTCAGTACATGTGCGGGTATCCACGTCAACATCAACTTACGTTGGCTGGGATATAGCTTCAGAGTCTTCGATTTGCTGCTGAATGATTTTGAGGATAGAATCGGGTATGTCGGTTACGGTGTACTGCTCTTTCAGTGTGACCTCCCGTGGAGAGGTATGATGTGATGAATCTTTCCCGTTGACAGATTTGCCCACATTTGTACTTTTAACCTGTGCGCCATCGAGTTGCTCTTCCTCATCTTCGTCTCCCCAGCCCCACGCATCGGCAGCGTCATCTTCAGCAGGTAAATCAGGTTTTGTTTCAGTTGTGTTCTCTTCGGTATCATCATCCAGACCCCATGCGCTGACATCCTCTTCGTCTTCTTTATTTCCAGAATGCTTCGCTGTGGTCTCATGTTCGTTGTCGTCATCCCAGCCAGCATCCCAATCATCAGTCGTATTCTCCAGTAGAACCTCATCCTTACCAGAAACCTCCTCTTTTTCGACACGTTCTACCTGCTTCGTGGTACCTTGGCTCACGGCCAGGACTTTGCGAACTTGGTCCAGTGAATCCACTCGACGCCTAGTGAGCCATAAACGAGGGGCCTGATTGACCCAAGAAACAAGTTCCTCATACCCCCGCCACCCGAATGTTTCGATCGTATTTGTGAACTTTAAAACATGGTTCAAGATATTTTCGAACATACTCAGACCTTCAAGCTCTGTGGGTATGGCAGAAGACAGCCAGTAGGAGATGACCTTCGACGAGAGTGTTGGGATGAGGGAACTCGAAAATGAGTCCGAGATTGTTGCTGGAAGGTGTTGGCGTAGGAAGCCCAAGACTGTGGCGAGGCGGTCCAAAACCTCAGGCACTGATGCCTTCGATGGTTGGGATTCTACTCGAATTGATGCCTCTCCGACCTGGACGCCACGGCTTTGTCCTTCAATTCCGGGCAGTAGAATAGGCTCGAAAAGGGTGGCAATTAAGTCCTTCTCGAACTTATTTTTGCACAACGCGAGCATATCAAGGTGGACCAGAGCCGCGATAGTTTCTTCCAATGGATACCCTGTTTTGTTCAATAAAAGTTTCCAGATCCAGGTCTGGGAGAATTGCTTACCATTGTCATTCAAAAGTGTCAAAACACTCGCCTTTCTGTCAACGTTCAACTGCTTCCTCCAGCGACCACGGAGGTACTCCGCAATTTCCCTCCGCAGTTCGCTGACATTTCCTAATAATACATGCATGACAGTTGTGTTTGAAAAGAGATTGTCTTTTTTAATGGCTTGCTCGGTCGCTTCTAATGTTTTGATTGCGTCCATGACTTGACCCTCTCCGAGGATGTCCCGCCCAGCATCGAGTCGCTGACATAGTCGTTGTACCTCTTCAAGTGTGTACGTTACAGCTTGGTTGAATGCGATTTCGGTTTCAACCAATTGGAACTTGGCAGCGGCATCTTCAACCTTCAATTGTAAAGGGTTTGTATTTTCATGCTGCGCGACAATCTCCCTCGCAGTGACACGAGATCGCTCAATGTCAACATGAAGCTGTTTTGCTTGCGAAATCCACCCATCGGCATCGAAGTCATTGTCTCGGCTCAGTGCAGTGATCTCCGCCTAGTTGACATGAAGCATAAGTATATCGTGGATTAGTCGCAGGGGCAATAGCGTTGGGAGCAGCGCGTGGTTCCCAGTTGGTGCTACTCACCTCCACTTCCTCCCTTGCCTTTGATATAAGCTCTAACTCTTTTGCGAGAGCAGATACTGGAAACTCCGCGACAATGACATTCTCAGATGTTGGGTAGATGCCTTCCGTTACAAAACCAAGCACTGACTGGCTTATCTCCTGCTCCGATGCCTTGTGGGCCATAGTAAACCTGTTTGATTGTGACCAGCTCTGTCGTTCCTCAACGAATGATAAAGCCCCTCTGCAGACAGAACCAACGCGAGTAACCCGATCCGTTACTCACTATCGGCAGATCGGAAAACACCTTAGAACTGAATTGCCTGGAATGGTTGGCAGCAACAAACAGAGGAGAAGAGGAAACGAGCTGTCAGCTCCATGTGACTTCATCGCTTTCACCGCCTTGGTCCCAATTCACGAGCATTCAATTGGAGGGATTTTGGTGGACTATGAGTTGTTAATTTCTTAATTCTGTTGTTCAATTTAACTGTTTCGTTTCTGTACATTCCTTGTAATCCTCGTTGGCCTATGCAGAGGTCATGTCCTCAGTATCTCTACATGTGTAATTGAGCATTTGTTGGCGTGGTGATCCTCCAAAACAACGGGACCCAAACTCCACTCTCTCGCCGTCACAGTTCGAGGGGACCGAAACCCAACTGCGGCCAACGACGTCCTTGGAACATTAATGTCAGCTGTTAAGCAGAGTTCATCGTGCTGTCTCGATTCTTCTTACGAGGCCTGTCTTGGGCAAAACCTATTCGATCCATGTAAGTTCTTATCGTCAACTCACCATTTTTGGGAAGAGGGAGAAAAAAAAAAAAAAAAAGGGGAAAAAGAAACAGCCCCTCTTCTATCAAGTGGCATAAAAAGACACTGTTACCCATTGGGGGTATTATGTCAACAAATTTGTTTCAGCATGTTTTTCTTTTTTTGAATACTGTTCAACTTAGTCTGCTTCTTCAATGTCCTGTTTGTATTTTAGTTTACTTTGATTTAGTAGTGAAATTTGTGCTTTATCCTGTGGTCTAGCGTTGCTATATAGTATCGCTTACTGACCCCTGTACAGATCATTGTTACAAACAACGATCGCAAATTCTGGGTTTAAGGTTCATCTTCAGAGGTTCTCAGGGTCGCTTAGCAAAATGTCCCCGAGTCAGAAAAGCCATTTCAAGTTACTACAGAAATTCAAACCGGACTACTCGCCAAGCGAATTTGTCCAGTATGAGTCTGAGAGAACTGGCATGCGGGTCGTGGTCATCGACCAGAAAGGCCCTAAGGTAACAGGATACTTTGTCCTTGCCACAGAAATCCATGATGATTCGGGAGCTCCCCATACGTTGGAGCATCTGTGCTTCATGGGTTCTCGCAATTACAGGTACAAGGGATTTCTTGATAAGCTCGCTACGCGGGTTTATTCGAGTACCAATGCCTGGACTGCCACAGACCATACGGCGTACACGCTTGACACAGCGGGCTGGGAAGGATTTGCCCAGATTTTGCCCGTATACCTCGAGCATGTAATTGCCCCAACCTTGACAGACGAAGGCTGCTACACAGAAGTACATCACATCGACGGAACTGGAAACGATGCAGGTGTTGTGTACTCAGAAATGCAGGGTGTGCAGAATAACGCTGCAGAACTGATAGACTTGAGTGCTCGTCGTTTGATTTACCCACCAGGTGTGGGCTTCCGTTATGAGACTGGTGGTATGATGGAGCAGCTCCGTGTTCTCACGGCAGAGAGAATCAGAGAATTTCACCGAGAGATGTATCAGCCGAAAAACCTTTGCCTGATCATCACCGGCGAGGTCGACCATGCCAATATGCTTGAGACTCTGGACAAGTTTGAAGATACCATTCTGGATGTTATTCCCAGTCCAGATGCTCCGTTCAAGCGACCATGGGTGGACTCCAAGCAGGCCCCGTCATTGGAAAAGTCTATTGTGGAGAAGGTAGAGTTTCCGGAAGAGGATGAATCGTTTGGAGAGATCGAGATCAGATTTCTGGGACCGGATTCTACTGATCCCGTTCAAAGTAAGCAGTAAACCCTTTCTTTCATCTCACAACTATGCTCACACTTCAAAGCCGGGGCCCTCAATGTTACACTTCTGTACCTTGCTGGATCATCCGCTTCGCTTTTAGACAACATCCTCGTCGAAAAGGAACAGCTGGCAAGTGCAGTCTACTATACCACTGAAGACCACCCCTCTTTTGAGATTCGGTTCACCCTGACCAGTGTGGAAACCGATAAACTAGCTCAGGTGGAACAGCGCTTCTTTGAAGTTCTGAAGGATGCGATGGAGAAAGAGCTCGACATGAACTATCTGAAAGAATGCATTGACCGGCAAAGGCGGACCTGGAAATTTTCTACAGAAAGCTCCGCTTCCTCTCTCGCTGAGTACGTTATCTCGGATTTTCTCTTTGGAAAAAGGGATGGTTCGACTCTCCTAGATGTCGCGACATTGAAAGAGTATGATGTACTAGAGAAGTGGAGTGAGAATGAATGGCGGAGTTTCATTAAGAGGTGGATTTCGGATGCTCCCCATGTCACTATTTTGGGCGTGCCATCCATGAAGATGTCTGAGACACTGAAAAAAGAGGAAGAAGCCAGAGTGACAGCACAGAAGAAGCGTCTTGGTGAAGCAGGCCTGAAGCAGCTCGCTGAGAAGCTTGAGAAAGCAAAGGCAGAGAACGACAAGGAGATTCCCAAGGATATGCTGGAGAGATTCAGCATCCCTGGGATTGAATCAATCCATTTTGTGGAAACCACCACGGCCAGATCTGGTGCTGCTTTGAAGGCGGGACGCCCTGACCATACTGCGCAGAAGCTCATAGACGCTGATGGCTCGGAAATGCCTCTGTTTATCCACTTTGAGCATATTCCGAGTAATTTCGTCCAGCTTTCCCTCCTTATCTCAGCTCAGTCTGTTCCGGTTCAACTTCGCCCCCTTCTTTCTATCTACACCGAAGCTTTCTTTAACCTCCCAGTTCAGCGTGATGGAAAAACCATCAACTTCGAACAGGTGGTTGTTGAGCTGGAGAGGGACACAGTTGGATATGCGATGGAAAATGCCAGAAGTCTAGGCAACTCAGAAATGCTGCGTATCTCCTTCCAAGTCGAGCTGGAGAAATATAACACGGCGATTGCATGGCTTCAGGAGTTGTCATGGAACTCAATTTTCGACGTGGAGCGACTGCGAGCAATTACCAGCCGCCTTCTCTCCGACGTGCCTGATTCAAAGCGTAGCGGCGATGACATGCTCGCAGCGGTGCATGTCATGGTCCACTACGCAGCTGAGTCCATCGTCCGCGCCCGAAGCACCCTGGTGAAGGCACGCTATCTCAAGAGGATCAAGAAACAGTTGGCTGAGGAACCAGAACTCGTGGTCTCCCGCATGGAAGAAATCCGAAAGGCACTCTTCCAGTTTGAAAACATGCGAGTGCTAGTCATTGCTGACCTTGAGAAGCTCAAGAGTCCTGTCTCTGCCTGGGAGCCATTTGTCGAGCGACTTGGTGCGATTTCTACCCTCCAGCCCATTACAGCAAGAAGGGCCTTGCTGAGTGAGGCCGGTCAAAATTTGGGTGGAGAGTCCTACGTGGTTCCTATGCCCACTATTGACTCGTCGTTCGCATATGCAACCGCTCGAGGCCTTGATTCGTACAACGACCCCAGGCTTCCTGCACTATTGGTTGCAATTGCCTACATGAACGCAGTTGAGGGTCCTCTCTGGGTTGCAGTTCGTGGCACTGGTCTGGCATATGGCACCAACTTTGCTTACAACGTCGACACTGGTTTTGTCAACTTTGACGTGTACCGGTCTCCTAACGCTCACAAGGCTTTCGAGTCGAGCAAGCAGATTGTCAAGGACCATCTATCCGGTGCTATCCCGTTCGACCCTCTGATGCTGGAGGGATCAATCAGCAGCATCGTGGTTAGCTATGCCAACGAGCAGGCGACCATTGCTGGCGCAGCCCAGGGCAGCTTTACCCGCCAGGTCGTGCGCAGCTTGCCCAGCGACTACAAGGAGAAGATGCTTCGGCAGGTTCGGAACATCAGCGTTGATGATATCAAGGGCGCTCTCCGGGACATCATTCTTCCCCTGTTTGATCCCAAGACGGCTAACATCGTTATTACCTGCGCTACTGTGCTTGAAGAGGTATGATCACAACTGACTACCCTACTGTATAAAGCGCTCAATGCTAACCAGTTCGTTCAGACTATCAAAGAAGGTCTCCAGTCGTCCGGCTTCACTCCCGAGGTGCAGCCGCTCAAGGACTTCGAGGACGATTACGGCTTGAAGGTCGGTGATGACGAGGACGAGGAATCCGACGACGACGAAGATGATGACGAGTATGAGACTGGATCGGAAGATGACGAAGACGACGAAGACGACGAGTGATGCTTTTCAATAACGAATCGGGTAGATATATTTTACGATGATTGGAATGGTATACATCGAGATTTGGCATGAAATAAGCGATCAGTAGATGAAGACAGGCAACTGCTGCAGCAATAGAAAAGGCCATGGATTAGGAAACTCAATCTAATGTTTGTTTTCGTTTTATGCTGCCTATATTTACGTACTACAATCATGGTCCCATACTACAAAGAGAAATCCGCCATTATATATTTAAAAGGGCCCCGAGTAGAGAGAAAAGCCCAACACATTGCACATAAAAAGATCTATGTATTGTATATGGTACAGAAGGACCATCGCGTCCCGTTATATCCAAGGCATTAAAAGCCTTTTCCCCGACAACGAATCAAAGAAAGCCTCAAGCCCTCAAATGACGAACAAAAGGAGCAAAACCAAATAGCCCAACAAGCCCATCATACAAATGCCGCATGTTGTCCGACGGTATATCATCCACTGGACAATCAACGCAGTTTCCCTTCCGTCCAGCACACAAGAACCAAAATGTCGCCCTTAAGCCATCTACCAACTCAACGACTTGCGGCCCTTCGCCCTCCTCCGCAAAATGATCATCCGTCCTCCACGCGACCGCACCCGGGCCAAGAATCCGTGACGCCGTTTCTGCACCCGTCGCGAGGGATTGTAGGTCGCGCGCTTACCGGCCAGGGAGGCACTGGCGGAGAAAGAGCGGGTCTGTTGGGCGGATGGCGTGGCCGCGGAGGGGAGTTGTGTATTGCTTAGGGTCGGGAGTTGGGGACGGATGGTGGTGGTGAAGTTGGTCATGGGTCGGAGTGGTGAGGAGAGAGTGCTGAAAGGTGTTGTCGTTGTGGTTTTGGGGGTGAGGTATCTGGTATAGAGCTGTTAGTACAGCGGGCCTGTTCCGGAGACCAGGTGTATGGGACGTGGTTTGGGTGATCGTGTGTTATGGTAGCCCTATGCTTGTTACCTACCTCGACATGGACATCGGGGACGAGTACGTCCTTAGGGCGGAGGGCATGGCCCTGCACCGGAAGCAAAGCATTGTCGTAGACTGAGTGAGCCGTGAGCACCGAGAAGGGACCGCGTAGATTCAGATTCAGAAGAAGTAGGCGGAGGCAGATGGCGTGGGATCCGGAGAGGGATTGGCTGCTGGGGGTTGGGAGGGTAGAGGCCGCTTGGAGATCGATTGATGGGCGGAACGAAAATTGAACCTCCGGCGGAGAGAGCACGGACCACCTTTCCCATCCTAGAACTTTTTTTCTTTTTTGGGTCTTCTTCGATTTTGATATACACCTTAAGCTCTCGGTCTTGACATTTGCGAGTGCACGAACCATCTTTCTATATTTATTTCGTTTGCCAATTTACTACATACTAGACGGGCTGTTTCCAATTGCGCACAGTATACCACCATAAGGGGAGCAATTATAATACGCTATATCATAAATCGAAACATTCAAAACCGTCACAATGGCTACAGGCCCCTCGCCCCTCCCCCCAACGTTCATTCTCAACTCGAAGTCCATCTCCCAATCAGCGGCGCATGACTTTCTCGCTGCCTACATCGACCTCGCCGCTACAGACCCCGCATATCAACCCAACGCCGGAATCAGCGAGCATGGCCCCGTTTCGCGCACCACAGCTGCTGCGCCTAATCTTACGATACACAACTTGAAGCGCGTGAAGGCTGGCCTGGCGGGCGAGGTTTTAGGACGCGATTTGGCTCTCGCCAAGCTGGAAGAGGGAGATGCGCAGCAACAGCAGCAAGTGGGGACGAATGGGGATTGGGAGGATGCGAAAAAGTTCCAGGAGGGCGAGAATGGCGATGCGGTGCAGGACGAGAATGATGCGCAGGGGCCGATGGACGTAGACGATGTGGGACAGGATGCCGGTGTTCTTGATAAGGAGGAAAGGAAGCGGAAGAAGAAGGAGAGGAGATTGGCGGAGAAGAGGGCTAAAGCAAAGGCTGAGACCCAAGCCGAAGAGTAAATCCGAAGGCAAAGGGAAAGCAACCCAGTGAGAAAAAGAAAAAGTATTAAAAAAAGAGGCTGTTATGGGTCTATGATTGGAAGATTTTGTTGGCATCATTCTGCTATGGGCTTGATTCTGTTCGGTTGGGTATCAAAAGCTATGCATCTTGTATTTGGCGTACTAGAGGAGTTTCCTTTGTTTTATGACTTTTATTTTTTTCTGAATGATGGATTCCCACACTTCTACAAAAAAAACACCAACCCCATCCCACAGGACCGAATAACCGAAAATATCCAAAAGTCTGAACACTAACCGAGAACGCGAATAAAGATAGCAGCATCAGAATAGCTCAGAGCTCGCGGTCAGCAGCTTTAACTGGCTTCTCATCATCCTCCGCCTTATAATCAGTGACCTTTCCACCCTTCCAGCCGAGCGCCTTGAGTCGCTCCGAAAGGATCGGGTGAGAGTAGTGATAGCTGGCATACATCCAGTCAGCATCCATGGTGCTCAAGTTTTGGATCTGGAGCTTGAGGAGAGACGAGGCGAGCTTCTCGGAATAGCCAAGCTTCACAGCAAACGCATCTGGGGTGATTGTTAGCCCTTGGTCATGGCACAGTAACCTTACCACAGCAGAAGCAGGGAAACATACCAGCCTGGAATTCGAACTTGCGACTGAGGATGTTCATTAGAAGCTTGACAACGGCATCCATTGGCGCCAGAGCATCCGAAAACAGAAGGAATCCAATCATAATGGGCTGTTCGTTAATGAAACCGAAAGATTGGTACAACGACTTGTTGTTGACAAAGACCGAGAAAAGTGCAAAGATGTAGAACATGTGGAACTATAGCAGTCAGTCGGACTTGTCCCGCACGATCATCAAGCAGGCCAACATACCTGAGCGATACCGAACAGCTTGGTGGTGTGGCTGAGACTCCAATGGCCCAATTCATGGCTCAGAACAGCAACCACCTCTTCGGACTCACTCTTCTCAATCAAAGTATCGTAAATAACAATATGCTTTTTCCATGGCAGTCCATAGAAATAGGCGTTGCTGTGAGCACTCCGTTTGCTACCATCGATGACGTGAAGTTCCTGGAGAGGGAAGTTCAGCTTCTTGGCGAGGTTCTCAACGCCGGTCTTTAGGTCACCAGGTTCCAAAGGCGATAGCTTGTTGAACAATGGCAGGATCACAATCGGGTAAATGGTAATGGCAAAGACCTGGACGAAGATACCAAAAAGCCACAGGTAGTAGAAGAACGAGTTACCGGTCTTCTGGACGATCTTGAGCACCGCGCTAATGATAGGCGTTCCAAGCACAATACCGAGCATCTGACCCTTCAGCATATCCGTAACCCAGAGCTTGAGAGTCTGCTTATTGAAGCCGAATTTCTCTTCCAGAACAAAAGTGTTGTAGTACGAGATTGGCAGTGACAGAATAGTGCTAATCAGGTTGAATCCAAACAGAAACACGAGAGTTTGTGTGATTTCGCCCTGGAACCGAGAAGGGAAGTACTGTGCCAACAAGAGACCGCTAGCCCCCCACAGTTTGGGGAGGATATCACCGTAGATAAACGCAAGATTCTGAATTTGACCGTAGAGACCAGCAACGAAGCCGAACTTCGCTTTCGCGCGACCGTAAGACTGGAGATGCTGTTAGGTGTGACGCTCGGCCTGATGGATGATGAGCATACTTACTTGACTTTGATCGAAGACCTTCTGAGACACCTCATTCTCCAAAACCTGTGGAGGCTTTGTGCGCTGCAGGACCTTATATTGACGGAGAGACAGAAGACCTTCTAGGACAAATTGTCCCAAAGAGAATCCCACAAGGACATTCTTCCATGGGAAGAACGGGCGGTCGAGGAGACGCGCCAATTGCTATAATCGCCACGGTAAGCCAGATCAGCTATAGCTCTTTATCATAACTGGACAGGTGTCACCGCAAAGGCGTGGGGTTTCTTCAAGGGCATTTGAAGACAATGCACTTACCTCGAGTATATACATGTTGAAGCGAACCCAACGACAGCTTTGCCTCAATGTCAAGGAAGTGCTGTGCTGTGTTGTTTGTCAGGTTGATAGGAACATTCCAACCAAGTTGCGCTTTGAAGTATTGCGGGAGAATGGAGTGCCTTAGTCACCTGTTGTTGTTACTAGTTCATTACACAGTTTTAATACGGTGGAACCAAGAATGTATTCATTGTAAGTACAGTAACTATGTATGTCATTTACCTAATGTAGTTGCCTGTGAATACAATGATCAACAATACCGAGTTCAATCAATAAATTACTGCTACTAGATTTAGCATAGGAGGGCTGGTATAGATGAAGAGACCACCGAGGCCAGAGTTAGTATATCAAATGCTATACCCCCAGCGTGTTTACGTCTAAAACTACGAATTTGAATTTATTACTTTGATTGATCAACGAGAAGACGGGATCGAATGAGAGTAAGAGACTCCGTAGCCTGCCATCATGGCTATATAGGGCTGTTCTGGTACTATCCCTAGTATTCCCTTTAGGGGAAAATATCTCCCAATCCAATGCTACATAGGTAGAAATATGGATATAGTGTCTATTATGAAATTAACCATGAAATATACCGATTATAACCAGAGCAAGTATATGACAAGGCCTTCACATCGTCCCGACATTTAATCATCTACCCAATGCTTTACTTTTTCATTGCATTCGTCATCTCCCTATAAGTAGCCCCTACATAGGTTCATGCAAGTAGAAAGAATAAGAAATAAGTAATAAAAATGAACATAGAAAAATTTTTCCACTGAACAGCGTCATAACACACGTCAAAGAAGTAGTATTCTACTCCATCCGTAACAACTTATCCCCCAAATCTATCCATCCCCTGTTGGACTAAATGGGCTCTTGGTTCTTGGGATCCTTTGCATAGGCCGCGAACGCGGAAAATCCCAAGTGTTCTTCCCCTTGACACTCCTACCAAGAAGCATGGACGGCGATTGGTCCTCCCGCGTTCTCTATTCATGGGTAAAACCAGATGCCTTCATTCCTGTGGCAGATTCCCCATGAAGCTTGAACCCTTCAAGGCCTGTTATCTGAGGAACAGAGGAACCAGAAGTTTAGATTTTCCCCATTCCCCTTCCAGCTGGCTCAATCAGGTCAAGCTACATAAACACGCACATGATAGCTCGCTTAGTTCAGAATGGGTTCGAGGGTGTTACCACTATCACACAGTTAGATCTCTATCATCCAGGAAAGACGTATGATGGAACAGGAAGATTACTTACGCAACAATGTTTGCCCACCCGATCAGACGCCAGTGCTTGTCGATTCTGCGAGAAATGGCAATCTTCTCGCCAATTTCAGTACAAGCAGGGCTGGTCAAGCTCAGCTTGGCGGCATCGGCCTTGACGCCCACGACCTTAGCACCGGTGGCCGTAGAACCGATGTTGACCATCAGAACCTCGTTCTTGCTCAGCTTAGCAACCTTGGCCTGCTTGCCATCGGCGGTCTTGACACCCAACAACCGGCGCAGCAAGAAGTAGTTGACCTCCAGTTCGGTGTAAATGGCGGGCAGACGTCCGCGATGGCCCAAGACGAAACCGACAAGACGATCAGCACGGCACAGAGTAGGGTCCACACGGGTACCGACACCGATCAGACCACCAGGAACAGCGAACTTCAGGTCGTTGTGCTCAGCGAAGAGAGAAACAACCCGCGAGAAGATGGGGCGGCACTGAATCTTGCCGTTCTCGTCCTTGGTCACGAGACCGGGACGGATTTCCACCTCGTCGTTAAGCTTAAGCACACCAGTCAGAATGGAACCACCAGCAACACCACCCTTCAGCTCATCAATCTCGGCACCAGGCTTGTTCACATCGAATGAACGGATGACAATCATGTGTGGCGAAGCGGTGAAATCACGGACAGGGACAGGGATGTGGGAAACGAGGTATTCGTTGACAGCATCAATGTTGTACTTCAGCTGAGCGGAGATGGGGATAATAGGAGAGCCATCAGCAACAGTACCACGGATGAACTTCAAAATTGACTGATAATGCTGAAGAGCTCCTTCTTCCCTCATTAGGTCAACCTTATTTTGCAAAATGATAATATGGCTAAGCTTCATAATCTCGATAGCTGCCAAATGTTCCGACGTTTGGGGCTGGGGGCAAGTTTCGTTTCCGGCAATCAGAAGAAGAGCTGCGTCCATGACGG